TGTGTGCACTGCGCTGGATTTTTTTAAGGGCTTAAATACTTTGCACCCACGCGATGGAGGGGGTTGTTCTCGGAGCTGGCTGTGCCAGGTCGCAGCTGGGGGCATTCAGCTGCTTTTGATTTGCGCGAGGAAGAGGTCGTCTTCACTGAGCTCTTGGATGGGGGAAAGGACTAAACCTTGGGAGAGACCAAACTCCGGCCTGAAAGAGCGTGTTTTCGGGGAGCTCGCGGGTCCGAGGTGACGGGAGGTAACCACGCAGCACCCCAGCCCAAGCCTGTAGATCCTATAAGCCTGGTCGCTCTTCCTGCAGGGGCCTCCATCTCCTCCCAGCCGAGCCTCCGCACTAAACCACTCTGCGAGGAGCTCCTACGTGACAGACGTCTGTACTCTTCCAGAGGGAGCCCCAGGCCTCACCCTGGGTTACGTCTTACCCCGTTTAATCGCTTCCTTCGTCGGCTGCAGCTCTCCCAAGCAGCAGCCTGGAGGGGTGTGGTGCTGGGGGGGTCTGGCCTAGGCCGAAAAGGAGGCACAGACAGCGCCGTGTCCCCTGGCAGCCTGAGGCACTCGGCTCACACCGGGCAGGAATCGGAGCATGGCAAGGCGCAGGCAGGTCCTGGGGGCTCTTTCCAGCCTGGCATGGGGCTGGGGGGGTTGAGGCCCAGTGGGTCGCGTTCCAGCTGCATGACCCCCTTCCCAGAGCCTCATGCAGCTGGTAGGCCCAGCGTTGGCCCCGGGGCCCGTGGGCACTTCCTCCAGCCTCTGTCTTGGCCCCAGGCAGCCGTGGCACCCCTGCTGCAGGGGCTTGGGCCTCACGTTGGTGCATCGCTCTCTATTTCTTCACCTCTTGATGCACGCAGTTCGCACACGCAGCGCAGGTGGTTCGCGGCAAGGGTGAGGGATCGCAGTCCTTCAGTCAAAAGCGGTGTAGGTATCATTATAAGTGCCAGCCGGCACTGCAAAGAGGGCTGCAGGAGAGCGTCCAGAATAGATGAAGCTCCCAAATCCCAGTTCATCAGCTCCCGACTGGAGCAATCTGTTTTCCAGGGATGATAACGGGGCTTGGCAAATTATAACTAATGCTAATGGCCTGGCGTAGAGGCACAGGGAGAAGAGGAAGCTGCTGCTGCCCACAGGCTCTGCCCCACGCGCCCGCCTGGGAGGTCGTGCTCCCCCGTGTCGTGCCAGGTGGTGCCCGGAGGTGGAGAGGCTGAACCTGCACGGTGCGAGAGGAATCGGTGTGCGCTCAGCACCTCGGCGTCCGCCCAAGCCCGGTGGCTGGTCTGCTCCGTGCTGACCGTGTCCCCCCCTCGTGCTCTGTTTGTCTCAGGGTTTTTAAACATCCCTCAGAGGTGCTGGTGCTGCTGCAGCCCAGGCTGGGGATGGGGCTGGGCTGCGCCAATGCTCCTGCCGACACCGACCCCGCAGGGTCCTGGCTGGAGAGTCTTGCCCCTGCGTTCGGGCTCAGCCCCACGCTGCCCTGGGGCAGGAAGGGATTTCCCCCCTGCTCAGACTCGTCTGCACTGCAGGGTTTTGCCTTCCTCCGCAGCGGGGCACGGCCTCGGCCTGGGGTCTTGGAGCGTCTGTGAACCCCCTTTGCAGCAGAAGGACGTTGGTGGCCGCGGCCCCCCTGCTTTCCTGGGGGCCGGTTTGAGTGCGAGGCCTGGGGCTGTGTCAGGAGTGACTCGTGTTGCTCAAAGGTCGGACACAGGGTTTGTCTGGGCTGCTTTGGACGGGGCTGATCCTGCCTCCGGCAGAGGTTGGACTGGATGTGAGATCTGCTGGTCCCTTGCAGCCCCGCGGCTCTGGGACACGGCTGCACGCTGGGGTCTGTTGTGTGCTGCTTGGCCCAAGGTGCGTGGTGGCCCCTTCGTAGATGTGACACGAGTCCCCATTAGAATCGTAGACAGTGAGGGTGGGAAGGGACCTCAGAAGTCGCATCTAGTCCACCCCCTGCTCCAAGCAGGACCAGCCCCGACTCCATCATCCCAGCCAAGGCTTTGTCCTGCGGGGCCTTAAACACCTCCAAGGATGGAGACTCCACCACTGCTCTGGGTGACCTCTTCCAGTGCTTCACCACCCTCCCCATCCTGAGAGAGTTTTCCCTAATACCCAACCTCAGCTTCCCTTGCTGCAACCTGAGCCCATTGCTCCTTGTCCTGTCCTCCACGAGGCAGCTCCCACCATTTTGGGAGATGTCTTGCTCAGCGAGTGAGCACCCTCCCCACCAGCTCCAGGCTCTGGCCAGCCTGGCCTTTTCGGGGGTTCAGTGTCTCTGGCTTTCCAGGCTGCGGGGACGCGCGGCGCTCGAGCCAGCCGGTGTCTGGGAGAGGCAGGGGCGTTTCCATCCCGGCCGGGTCCAGCCCATGCTGGCACCTTCTCGCCAAGCAGCACGGGGCACCAAGGCTTCCCCTGCAACGAGCCGGCCTAGCTAACGGAGCCTACCTAACAGATGATCAGCAGCATGTGAGTAATAGACTCCTCATTTAGTTTTAATACATTTTGCATAGAGAGCAATCAACCTTCATCGGTCTTAAAGATGAATTGGCTTAGCCAGCTAAATTTTAAAGATATTAGCCCGACAGCAGCCACATAAATCATAACATTTTCTTAATGATGGTAAAATTAAAATATACTCTGGCACCGCGAAGCCGTGAAGCCTTCCCGGGCCCAGGCCCGACCCCAAATGAAAAGGAGATTTAATGGATGTGTTTCTAACTTTAATGTGCCCTGATGGCCCCTGTTCCCTTCCCGTCCTCTGCCTCTGCCCAGGCTCCCGGCAGGGAGGTGGTGGTGGGCGTCCCACGGTTCTTCAGGCCGGAAGTAGCAGGAGGCAGCAGCCTTGGTGGCAGCAGTCGGAGGTTGCGGCAGCCCTGCCAATGCAGCACGGAGCCTCCCCTAGAAAAGACTGGGCCCCTGCAGCGACCGGGCAAGGCCAGGGCAGGCGGGGAGGCCGGGAGGGCGTCTCATGCCCCTGCCGAGGGGTTGATGTTGGAGCGACAGCAAGCGTGATAGTGCTCGGGTCCTCGTCCTGCTCTCTGAGCTGCCTGGGAGCACGGCCGCGAGCGTGCCCGGGGGCTCGCAGCACAGCCGTCTTCCCGCTGGGCACAGGCGGGCACCGAGGTGGGGTCTCTGGTTTGAAGCGGCAGAAAGAGCGGATCTCGGGAAACACGTCCTCACGGTCAGAGCAGGGAGGCTGCGGGAGGGACGCTGCAGCACTGGAGGTGTCCGGGAGAGGCCGGACGCGCTGCGCGGGCACGATCTAGGGGCAGCAATGCCGCTACAGGGATTTCCCCGGCTGCCGGACTGTGCTGTTGCCACGTGGGGCTGGGAGGGAACTTTTCCCCCCTCCTGCTGCTGCATGCGTCAGGGGGTTTTTCCCCTTGTTTTCTTTGCCCTTGCTTGGCAGCGCTGGGTGCTGCCGCAGTCTGGGATGGGGCTGGGCTCCTGTTCCCCGCTGGCTGTGGACCGTAGATGCCCGTGGCTGCATTAAACCCTCTCAGCCTCCTGGTCCCGCCTGGGTGGGGGCGGCTCATCTCCGAGCCCTCCCTCTTGCTGGCCAGCGCCCGTGGTTCGGGATGGTGCATGATCACCAGTGCCACTGCCGCCCTGAGACGCTGCCATCTTGCTGTGCAGACTCGCGTGCCCTGGGTCGGTGGGTGACTTGCCCCCCGTGGGGGCTGGCAGCCTCCGCTGAAGCAGAACCCGGCCCTGCTGCTCCCCACTTCGCTGCACCAGGTCTGTCCCTCCTCCCTGAAGCGCGGCAGTCGCCCCTGGAGGGCACCGCTGCCCCGGGGTTTAATCCAGCTGCTCCTGGCACTCTCCACGGGGAAGGGCTGGTGCCAGGAGAAGCCGCTGACCCCGGTGAGGTTGGGCACGGTTGTTGGGTTCACTTCGCTCTTTTACACTGAGCCCTGGGCAGTGTCGTGGGTCTCGGGAAGACCCTCCGTGCTGGGAGAGCCATGGCGTGCCCGAGGCAGGGGGCATCTCCATCTCGGGAGGCTGGATCAGCTTAGGGCAGCATCCTGCGTCCGTGCAGGGGTCGGGCCTGTCGCCGCCTCGGGGTTCTGCGCTTCCAGCCTGACCCGCTGCTTCTGGCTTTGCACTCGGGCCCCGTGGGGCGTGCTGCGCTGCAAAGGTGCCGTCGGCCGCCTCCGTGCCGGCTCCGGTTGGGCGCGGGTGGAAGTTGCTGCCTGCTTGCGGCTGGTCTGCCATCTCCTGCTGCGGCCGGCCCCTCCCAGGGCAGCTCAGTCCCCTCCGCCGCGCTGCAGGCAAGGATGGTCGCAGTGGCCCCAGTCTCCTGGCACTGAGCACGGTGCCCTGCGAGGTCCAGAGCACCCCGGGGTGACGGCATGCGGGGGTGAGCTGCGAGCATGGTGGGCTTGCAGAACGGCCCTGCTTCGTGGGGGTGTCTTTCCTCCCCGGCCCAGCTCTAGGCCCCTTCGTAGCTCCCATCCGCGGCCTCCTCGCACGGCCAGGCCCGCGTTCGCACGCCGGCCCAGTCTCCGCGCTGTCACCTTTTGTGCCGGAGCCGCCCCCACAAACGAACCCCACAGCTCGGGGGCCCAGCGGGGCCGCGGAGGAGGTAGTCCGTTAGCGCCAGAGTCTAATCAGGCCGGCAAAGTAGGGCAGCGCGGCACAGGAGCCTTTGATGGGCCGGGCTCGGCGGGAGCGGGCTGCTAATTCGGTGGCACGCGGAAGCGGCAGAGCAGCCCCTCGCCCACGCGTGCGCACGGGCACTCGGGCCCCCGCGCCCGGGCTTTTCAGTGCCTGCTCTCAGACCGAGCCTGGAAACTTTCAGGCCCCCGTCTCCCTCTCTGAGCACTGGGCTGGCTTTTCTCTCCCTCTCTTTCCTTTCTTTCTTTCTTTTCTTTCTTTTTCTTTCTTTCTGGGTTTTTGTTCCCCTGCACTATAAAAAGCAAAGCTCTCTTGCCTTTTGAACTAGGCGGCTGCGAGTGAGGGCTAACTCTGAGCTGTGTGGCTCGGTTACCTTTGTGTTCCAGATGAAACTGCCAAGCTCGGTGGGACAGAAGAAGATTAAAGCCCTAGAGCAGATGCTGATGGAACTAGGAGTAGGTAAGTAAAGGGGGCACGCTAGAGACACAGACACACAGAGCGGGCCTTTGTAGTTGAGACAGGCTATTTTTTCCCCGAGTAAAGCAGCCAGGTTCTTGAATAACAGTATGTGAATGGTTTTTCAAATATTTCATGTGCTTAAAAAAAAAAAAAAAAAAAAGAGGGTCGAAGCCGGAACACGATGCACTGAGGCTTTTCTTTTCCTCCCGGTAGAAAAATGCTGTGAAAGAGCCTTTGTTTCTCTCCTCTTCAGGCCTCTCCAGCCTTTGGGCGAGACGGCCCGGCATCCAGGGCAGCCTGAGCCGGGTCGGGCCCTCGGGGGCCCTGCGCACGCGTTGTTTTGGGTGCCCGGCACACCCTCCGGCTGCCTTTGCGCCCCGAGTGGCGAGTTCGAGCCTCGCCCAGGCCTGCTCCCCTCCCTCTCGCAGACATGGGAGATGAGCGGTCGCGCCCCGTGCTCCGGGGCTGCCAAGCCACGTGCCCCCGGTGCCCCCTCAGTGCAGACAGGAGGCACCTCCGGCTCAGCGTGGCAGGCAGCAGATGCTGCTCCTGTCCTCGTGACGGACCTCTGTGGAGCCCCGTGATGGGGAACGGGGCACGGGTGGGGCTTGGGGGGCAGCCCAGAGCCAGGTAATGCAGGGCCCCCTCATCCCTCCAACTCCACCGCCTTGCAGGCTCTGCCACGACACCCTGGGCAGCCCTAGCTCACCGCCCTCCTCTCCCTCGCCCCCCAGACCTGAACCCGATGCCGACGGAGGAGATCGTGCAGATGTTCAACGAGCTGCGCAGCGACCTGGTGCTCCTGTACGAGCTGAAGCAGGCCTTCGCCAACTGCGAGTACGAGCTGCAGATGCTGCGGCACCGCTACGAGGCGCTGGCCAAAGCCGGCAGCCTGGGTCCTGGCAGCGCGGAGGGTGCCCATGCCGACGGCCCGGCTGCACCAGGTGCCGAGGAGGGCAAGGCTGATGCCAAGGACCAGATCATCGACGTGGTGGGAGCACCCTTGACCCCCAACTCGGTGAGCAGGGACTGGGGCCAGGACTTGGCCTGGCTTCAGGGGGGTGCCAGGGGCCAGAGCTCCCAGGGGGGCAGGCCTGCAAGGGGACAGTGCCCAGGGAGAGGTGGGCGATGGCCGGGGCAACCACATCATTAGGGGCACGGCCATCCACCAGCCCTACTCCACCCTGCTCTGCCCTACCCAGGGCACTGCCATCCCCGTTGCACGGTGCCTTGGCCCCTGCGTGTGCAGCACATGACAGGACGTGGAGACATCTCCCCTGCCACCATGCATGCGGGCAGTGGCAGCGTGCAGCTTGCTCGCTCGCTGTCGCTCGGGACCATACACACGTGTGTGCATTGGGGTGGCCAGGCAGGGGGGCGAGGTCTCCAGCCCCGTGCTCCCAGCGCCGCCTCCTGGGACTGCAGACAAAGGGGGAGGCCGGCGGCGTGGCAGGGGTTAAAGTGACCTGGTCTCTGACATATTTGAAAGAAATATAATCAAGTGAATTCACTGCAAGGCAAATTCGGTACCTACAGGCCCCTGTTAAATACAGCGCTGACCTTTACCGGCTGATTACACAAAGACGACACAATTAGATTAGTCCAAGACAAAAGGTCAAGCGCATTCACACTGTGACCATTTTATGCTACCTTGGGCGGGGGGAGGGGGCTGCGCCCCGGCTGCAGGGGCGTCTCGGGCTGGCCCCGGCTGCGCTCGGGGAGCAGGGCCCATGCGGCGCTGGGAGGGCTTCACTCCACGGGGGGGGCACGGTTCCCAGCCCCCCAGACCCCCGCCCAGCAAGAAGTCTAAGCCATGGCCTGTCCCAAGCCTGACGGAGCTGGGCATCCACATCTGGGGCTGGCAGAGGGCTGGGGACATGGAGCTGTGCGCCAGGCCGGCGGGCACGGATCAGCTGCGAGTGCCGGGGGAGCACACGTGTCCCTGGTATGGACGTCTCTGGGGGCCCGACCCCTCCTGCTGTGGGGGTCACCCGGGCTCTGCTCTTGATCCCCATCCGGGTTGCCGGCAGGTGGGGCCGGGCCCGTCTCCCTCCTGGGAGCTCCAGGTTCAGCCCGAATTAATTCACCAGCCGCTCCTGCAGTGAGGAGTGCTGCCGCCCCGGGCTGGGGCACGGAGAGCCGCCCACCTGGGGAGACCCGGTGCCACGTCAGCCCCGTGCTCCCCAAGCCCCCAGGCCGGTCGGGGCCGTGAGCGCTGACCCGCCGGGGCCCGGCCGCGGGGAGGTGAGAGGTGAGCGGCGCGCGGAGCAAATTAGTGCCAAGCAGAAGTGCAGCCAGTTCCTCCAGATTAGAGCCTTTGATGGGCGCGACTCGGACTCCGCGCGGCTCGTAATGAGTGAGTCGCCGGCGCGGCGCTTTGTTCCCGGGCCGGCGAGTCGGCCGGCTAATGGGTAAAGGAAAGGCCCTCGCCTCTCAGAAGTCTCGGGTTCAGAGTCGCCGCGAGCCCGCTTTCAAGCCTCCTTGATCCGAACTCCTGCTGACGGCTCGTTTCTGAGCCCGCTTGAAAGCCCAGAGTTACATTGTTAAGATCAAACGGCCTTTCTTTCCCGGCGGAGTTGCAATCTCCGGCTCGATCGACATGACACGCGCGGTGCGTACGCGCGGCCTCCCCCGGTCGCTCCCTTCCAGGAGTGCCGCAGCCTGGCCGCTCTCGGGAGCCGCCGCGGGGAGCACCCAGGCTCGTGCCCTGGCCGGGTTGTCAGGCTGCCCCCGGGAAGCCGCCGGCTCCTTTGTTTCCAGCCGGGCTTGTTCTTTCCTGCGACTTCCCCTGGCTTGGGGCACGGGGCGCAGGGCTGGGAGCCTGGTCTGTGCCTGCCCTGAGCTAGGGGAGGCCGTGCCCATCCCGGGTGTGCTGGGGCCCAACCTCTGCCAGGTGCCTTCCTGCTTCTCACCCGCTCCCCTCCGTCTCCCACCCCCCGGGCACCTGCTCCTTGGGGAAGGAGGCTGCTGGGAGCGCGGGGCAGGAGACAGCCATCTGCCCCCACCCCAGGGCCCCGGGACAGTGCGCTGGGGCCAGGCCTGTGCCTGAGTCTGTCTCGGGTCTCCAAGCACTCGCGTGATGCCAGCAGAGATCCCCCCCCCAGCCCCAGCGCCCTTCCGCCGGGCTCCTGCGCGTCCCGCTCACCCTGCATCTCGCTTCTGCTCTCCCCCGACAGCGCAAGCGGCGAGAGTCGGCCTCCAGCTCCTCCTCCATCAAGAAGGTGAAGAAGCCGTGAGCCTCGCACCGCTCCGCCTCGCCCGCTGCTGCCCGGAGCCTGGGCCCTAGCCGGGGGCCGGAGACAGCAGGAGCCGCGCCAGGCCCAGCCTGGCCTGCCCACGGGACCGTGGAGCCCTCCGGCAGGAGCCAGGGCACAGCTGGACGGTGCCCGCTGCACCCTGGAGCCGGCGGCTGTGCCCTTCCCCGTAGCGTTTGCTGGTGTTTTTATACGCCCTGTTTTTGTGAGTGTCCCTGTAAATACAGCCCCTGTCGCCGTGGACCTGCCCCGTGTCGTCTCTGGCCTCCAGCAAGGGGGGGTCTACCCCACCAACGCTGACTCCTGACCTGGGGGGGGGCCCCGGCCCCGGCCCTGGGTCCAAGCTGCACTCGGGGCTTTTGTCGGGTCCGAGGTCAAAGGCCACGGTCTGGGCTTTTCATAGAAAACCAGCTACCCCCCCCATATAGGCTGGCCCTGAACACCTAGGGCTGCTCGTGTGGGCCCTGCCCAGGCATGGAGGTGGCAGCAACATACACACGTACACACGGGTCCACACCTACCCATGTATACGCACCTGTGCACACCTACACGTATAGGCACATGCACATACACACACCTGTGCGCACCCATACATATATACACGCACACCCACACGTGTACATACACACATGCATATAGATGCGTATTTAGTAACACAAGCTAATGTGAACACACATGCTAATGTGTACATGTGTATACATGCACGCACGCACTGCCCCCTCCCCCCAAGCCCAGACCAGGCGCAGGCGGCTCCTTTTCCCCCAAACTTTATTCATGTGGCACATTTACAGCGAGGGGCGGAGTAACTAGACGATGAGATGCCGGGGCGCAGCTGCGGCGGGTCGGACTGGAACACCACACACCATGCAGTCATGTACCGCCAGGTTCAGTGCCTGTATTGGCTGCGCCTGCCGGGGCGGGAGGGAGCC